CTATCTCGTCCGCATGCTCGAGTCTGACAAGACTGCCGTGGCGACCGTCTATGAGGCGTTCAAGAGAGAGTACTGGGACGTGCAGCTGAGTTGGGTCGAGAGCGCACTCAGAGCCAGAGATGACTATGATAGGAGCATGCTGAGCAGTGTGAAAGCGAAAGCGAGCGAGGTGTATGTGGAACGAGGACCCGAGACCATCATGAGTAAGGTCAAATGAGAAAGGGCGATTTGGCCAAAGAGACGGACCGAATAAATCTACTGCAACAAGAAGGCCGGACCGGTGGTGGGTTTGCAGAAGAGAATAGTCAGCAGACATGATTGCAATCGGAACAACCGGGCAGGCGGCCATGTTGCAGCCACTTCGCGGTACCGAATCGAACTGGCGGGATCTTGGACTTGGCTGTGGCTTCAGAAGCTACCTCTTGGCTACGGCCTAGCTTTGCACACGCGCGCTGGCTCGTTGGTGGATTCGATGGGACGAGAAGGGCGGCGTGAACCCGATGCAGCACTCCCTCGAAGGGTAGAGAGCCAATTCGAGGTAAGGCGAGTGTGGATGCGGGAAGAGAGTCAAGACACGGTGTAAACACCACACCACGACAGATGTGAAGGGCAGTAATCTTTCAGACGTTGACGTAAAACGACGATGTCTTTATTCATATACACCCATCCCTGTCATGCGTGTTGACAAATCAATTTCGCTGGCTCAGTATGCACTACGCACTCTGCCTCTAACCCACGATTCAACGTCTCCCGCCTCCCTTCATAACCCTCCCACCCCTGACCTTCGCCTCGCCCAATCCCCTCCTCTGCACTTTACTCCCGATGCTTCCTCCTCTTCCCCTCAGACCACCTCTACCGCTCACCCGTCCACTTCTACTACCCTGATCTTTCCCTCCTCTGGCATCAGCGAACCGAACCTCCTTCCTCCCCCCTCCACCGCCATTCACCTTCTTCACTGCCCTGCCATCATCCCCATCATCATCAACGTCCATGGAGTCTCCGTTACCGTTGGATTTCTCGCGCTTGTTGCTAAACTTCAGCCTCCCGCCTCTCCTTCGCTGCACGGCGTCCCGGCCACGTATGGCGTCGACATAAGCGTTGATGCCGCCTTCAAGGGTCATTTCGTCGCCCACATCCGGGCCGTTGGGATCCAGGGCCATTGGATCATCATCATCATTAGCGTCTCCGTCATTTTTGAAAGCAATGCCGTCGAGGTCGGTCCTGTTCTTTCGCTGTTTGCCTGGCGCTTGTTTCGTAGCCGTTGGTTTCCGACTCGAAATGTTGGCGAGGGATTTGCGGTCGAGGAGATCGAGGGGTTCGTCGGCGTCTTCGGTAATGTATGTTTGCCCTCTCCCTCCTCTGCCATTGGACTCCGCCCCGCGCTCATCGTCGGAACCATGGCCAGAGTCGGAGGAGGATTCGCTACCGTAAAGCGCTTCATCATACTCGCTCTCAAACCTGTTCTTCCGTTTGGCTGGCTCATCGGTAGCAGCTTCAGCGCCGTCAGCTGCCTTGTGCCGCTTACGCCGTTCCTTGGTCTTCCGGATATTGTTTATAAGCTTTTTGTCGTCTTCTGGACACTGTTTCTCAATGGCATCAAAGCCAAATCGCCGGATAGCGCGCTCGAGTATATGCTTCACTTTCGCTCTGAATTGCGCTTTATGCTCTCTCGACCATGACATGAGGCCTGGCACCAGTGTGTCGAGCTTTGGTTTCACAATGTCTTCGGGGAGGGAGATTATAGCAACCTTGACAAAGCCGAGAACGGAACGTACAATTTCACGATTCGTGGAGGTGAGGAATAAATCCATTGTTTGGACTAGATCTTCGATGACCGCGTGAGGAAGCTGCGAAGCGAACTCGTACAGGATTCGCGTCAGGGCCGTTATGCTGGCAGAGACCATATGCGGCGTTGAGCCCACAAGTCCGGCGGATACCATGGTGAAAAACTCCTCCAGACTGGCTTGTGCAATGGGTGCGTCCGCCGCCATGTGTGGGATCTGCGATTGATTGATTTGTCCGCCTTGAGACATCTTGCGAGCCATGAGAACAAGGAGGTCGAATGCAGCTGTACGGGCTTTTTCGTTGACTTCTTTGGCCGAGATAACCACTTCGGAGAGGATAGAGGGAATGAAGTGGAGGGATGTCGGTGGGAGGTGCTCGACGACGACTGAAATCGCAGCGAGACGATCGCGGCGGGCTGGGGCGGAGACGGTAGAGGCGGTGGTAAGGAGGAGAGATTGGAGTTCTACGTTGCGATCTTGGAGGGCGAGGGTGCCTGTTAGAGAGGTGGCGAGACGGGGCAGGAGCTTATAGGCCTTCTTTTGGAGTTGGGGGTCGGACGACTGTGGGAGAATGAGGGCGGCGAGGGAGAAAAGCGTGGGGAAGGTAGGGCGCGGGAGGTATATTGAGAGTGTTATGATCAGATCCATGAGGGTATGGCTTGTTGGCGGCATCTTATCGGCCGAGGTTTGCTTTTGCTTTTGCTTGTCGGCTTGAGTTTGAGAAGTGGATTCTGCAAGGGCGAGGGCGTCTTTAAGCATCCTTATGACTCCCTGGAAAGTCTCGAGTAGCTCCTAGGAAGTTTTAGCGATGAAACTCAGCAGCGTTCAAGTATCATACCTTCTCGGGAGTGATACTCAAGTAAGCATTGATGCACTGCAGAATATAACCCCTGTACTGCGGCAATGTCTTTTCATAAACATTAACTAGTACTGCTAGCAGATTTCCAGAAAATGACGACAGATGACTGAGGTCCTTCTGCGCATTAACCTTCGTAGCCCGCTTCTTGAGGAGTGATTCCTGGTCAGAAGCTTCCATATTGGCAATCTCTTGATTCGATTCCACCAGCATCTGGAGAGCTTTGCAAACGTCTACCCGAAGCTCCGTCTGCTCGTAGAGCAAAGTAGCCAACATCTCGGCAAAGCTCTGATCAAAAGCTGTGCTCAGATCTAGTGGTAGATTGCAATAGCCCGGCAAGAGCGCCCAAATCTGCTGCACCAGAGTCTCGAATATCTTGATTTCCATTGTTTTTTCGGAGTTCCCATTGTCTTTCACTCTTTGAATCATCGTTTTGCTCAGAGGTACAAACTCGGATCTGAAATGAGTGAGATTGGTGTTCTGGACACGGTCTCGCAAGATGGGCAACAGCCACGCTCTTCCTGGTTGACCTGCTTTTGGCTTCGCCAGGTTCAGCGGTAGAATCTGGAGGACAGAGTCTGGTCCCATGGCTTCGATGGCGTTGCCAAGGACAACGTCCGCTTCTTTTTTGCCATTGAACGAGTCGTTACCTCGTAGCTCCCCAACGGTCTTTACTATGTCATTTAGAAGACCAACTGATCTCCATCTGAACGCCGAGAAGAGAGCCGACAACACGGTGAAAATTTCCATCCATGCAGATTGATATTTCACACTCAAAAGTGCAGTTGCTGCTTTCGCTAGCTTTTCAAGTACTTTTTCGTCGTATATGGAAGGCTCTAGGATTGCTGTGTCAGGTACACAGTTGACCGAAAATGAAATTAGACATTCTGAAGCAGATACGCGGATGTTGTGTGACGAGGAAGCAAGGAATCCGGAAATCGTCTCGAAGAGCTCAGGCAACTTTTGGAAAGTCTCATCCGGGCTGACTTGCGCCGAGACATCATAGCCTCTCGACATGACGGCGATCCACGGAGGCAGCAGTTGCGAATCGTTCTGTGAAGGCCGCAGCTCGGAGATAGCTTCCATCAGCTTTGGTAGCTTTGCAGAAGATATTTCGTCGGCCATCCCTGCAAATATGACTTCAAATATTTCAAAAGCAGACATTGTGAGGTACTCATTGTTTGACCGCGAGATGTTCATGAGGACTTCACAGAGTGGCTCAATCTTCTTACTTGGCCAGCCTCCAGAAGCGGAAGCTATTGTCTTGACCAGCTGCAGCGCATGCATGAGACCTGGCTGATGTTCCTCCTGCCTGTGACCCTTTCCCTTCTTTTTCCCACTTGCAGCCATATCACTGACATTTCGCAAAGCTGTCTCGGCGCACATATCCGCGGCTGGATGATCCAGTGAAGGGCTTGGAGGGGGGTTCTTCAAGACATGCATGACCGCGTCCTGCGCACGCTTTCTGACCTTCGGTCTGTGCTCTGACGCGAGGACCAATAAGCCTGCGATAGCTCTCCGTGGGCTGACCTGGGTCTGCGGAAGCGCCCACGCTGCATTGTCCTGCGCGACCAGCAGCGATTCCAGACATCCTACCGATGACCTTATCAAAGGCGCTTCAATCTCATTATGAGTCAATACAGGAGCAATACTCGTAAGTATCTGAGAGAACTTCGATCGGAGGAGAGGCGCAGGTACGTGGGGCGCTATGATGTCGAGGAGGTAGACGACTGATGTCGCGAGCTCTTTGTTGACAATGCCATTCGACGGGGAAACTGATTGACTGAGCAATGCGAGCAGGGCAGCAAAGTATGCTGTGGGGGTTGAGCCATACTTCTGGTCCTTGAGGGTGTCTTCGACTGCGGAGAGTACAACGGAGGTCTGCTTGCGGTCAGTGGGGGGTTGGAAGGGTCTGGGAATTGGGCCCTGGCCAACCTCTCGCTGATTCTGCAATTTGGGCGACCTGATTTTTTCGAGCTTCTCGGTCAAAGACATTCTGGATGAGGTCTCATGGGCAGGTAGAAATGCACTCCATATTTTTGTTTCATTTTGCGATTTGCGAGGCCAGGATTTATCGATAGTGTTAGGGCGTAGGCTAGATGTTAGCTCCCGCTCATAGGGCTTAGCGTTGTATCAATCTTGGCTAACGAGCTAGTAGGTATCTACATGATGGAATAACTGGCAGGTATTTCGTCGAAACGATCCATGGTAAATGCAATCATATGTGTGATCTAGATCGAGAGGATTTGTTTCTATGTATTATATACCGTTCTCCTTTGATCTTGAGTCAGACCTGACTTCTGATCATTTCTGAAAACCGTACACATAATGCTAGGAGTATGTCCGCTCAAACGCCCGCCTTATTCGCTCTCTCCGATGCAACCAGCCTCTACCGGACATCTCGTGCGACTGATCGCCACCTGTATACGCGCAGTCATCGCTTAGCTCCCAACGGTGAGCATCTAAGTCGCGTTCTTGAGTGTGGTTCGCTTGAGGAAGGTACCTGACTGCATAGGTCGCCTCCGGCAAAGCTCACAATGCTGGCCAGGCACTTTTTTTTGGCAGCAGCTGCGAATCTTGTTTGGGCGCTGTTCTCGGATGATCCGGTATTGGACATGTCGGACATGATACGGGCAAATAAATGGAGCTGCTGGATGAGATGGTGACCGGTAGGCTTGAAGGCTTGAAGGCTTGAAGGCTTCAGACTGTATCGAAAACCGCACATGGGTGCGGTTGGTCGAGAGGTTCTTATAGAACATTTCGAGTTCAACATGTTCGTTCTATCGTCCTGATCAGGCGTGCCAACCAGCCTGAATACGTAATTCCTTCAGCTGTGCCTTTGCGGAGGACCCTAACGAACGTGGCGGCGGTTTTGCTCCAACAACCTACAAGACAACGACCAAAGGCGGAGAGGACATTCCAAAAGGCAGCCAAACTCCGGTAAATTGCAGTATCAGGTACAAAAGAGCGAACAATATGTAATCGGGTATCTTGATCCTCTTGTATATACAGTAATCGTTGGGCGAGTTCGACGTTTAGAAAAGCGGAAGACCATTGGCTGGCTAAGTAGACAACAAAAGCAATCAAGGTTGCTCGCTTTCAGGTGGTGGCTCGGTACTCGATGTTGGTACCTCTTGGCCAATCGGTGCTGGCGGCGGAGCAGCCGCTGGCTGTTGCTTGCTCGCTGTCGCAGCCTGCAGTCTTTGGTCCAAAGCCTTCAGAGCCAATGCTCTCCTCCGCTCTGCTTCTTCTCTCTTTCCGCCACCACCTCTTCTGCCTCCTTGATTGAGCAGGCTTGGTAAGCCGCCTTCACCTCTTGCGGTAGCCTGCTCATTGCTCGTCTCGACTTCCTCTGCAGAGAAAGGTGTTATGACGCGTATAGTCACCAAAGCATTGTAAAGGCCATCTGCAACAGCCGCTATGGGGGGTTGGACGACATCAGGCCAGAAGTAAGCGAAAGCGAAAGTTTCGGATGCATCTCCTTTTATTGTGGGTCCTCCTGTGCTGGCTCCGGAGAGCTCGGCCTCCTTTTTATGGAACCGAAGGTATGTCCAGCTTGTAAAGAAGCCGGCCCAGCCCAACACAAGCGCTGTGTCTGTTCCAATTACCAGCCCAGCGATTGTATTCGCGGTAAGGAAGATGGCAGGGAAATGTTTGACTCGTATTTTGATGATGCCTTTGAGTATTGTGACCGTATGCTCGGGGACGAGCTGCTTAAAGGCGACGAGGAAGGCGCCTTGAAGGGCAACGGAACCTTGAATGAAAGCCAAGCTGGGGCGAGAGGATATGAGCTTGATGGTTAAGGGGACGGAGTAGAGGGAACACGTACGCTCTTGAGTCATCACGCGTGATGGCGAACCAGAGCACATACACCAACGTTGCAATGAAGTTTGGCAGCACAGTCACCAACAGCACGAACTTTCCAAACTCGGTTGACCCCCACGCACGTTCCAGGTATTTGCCGCCATACAGGATGGTTGCACCGGCGATGAGCAATGTAAGGACATTTTGCTCGGCGAAGGTCGCTGTAAAATAGACCCATGGGTAAAAGAGTGACCACTGGGGAATGAGGGCGAGGAGTTCGGGGTCAAGACCTCCAAATAGGTAGCGTGTGATTTGATGAGTGGTTGAGATGGCAAGGAGGAGACCGAGAAGGACGCGGGTCAAGGGTGGTATATTGATACGCATTTGCATTGTGCATGGTAGTCTACCGTAGGTATCAAGGCAATAATCGAAAGAAAAAATAATAAATAATTTAATGCATACGCTTCGTATTGCTGCAAAGTGTCATTTAATTAAAGAGGATGATGATCTTCGTATTGGTTCACTCGTTCTCCCCCTTCCGCTGTGACTGTGACTTGTGAGCCTGTGAGGAATTTTGACGCCGTTACAAGGATCACTAGCGTACGGCTAGCTTTGACCCAAAACAATTCCAAAGCCAATGAAGACAGACCCAAGTCGCGCTTTTCCCCTCAAGCCACTTCGCAATAGTGCATCTGCGCTTGGGGTCAGCGTGGGATGAACCCCATCTTGTCTCTTTCAATTTCACCCTTTACATTTCTGCCAGCCAGATGCCGGAGTGTGGATTGCTAGCACGTGCCTGCAGACCGTTGCAGATATTATAGTTGTTATTATTATTATTATTAGGAGGTATTATTATTGTTGCCGACAGCGCCGTGAAACTACAGTACAACCATCTCTACCTTACTTTACCGTACCGTACTTACCTTACGAGTACCTTAGGCCCCTGGGAGTTCGAGATCTGCTCTTCGGGAGCACTAATTTAGTGGAAGCTTGACGCCTCGCCTGCCGAACGCTAGCTTCCAGGTGGTGCTCTGGCAAATCGAAACCAAATCCTCGGTCATACACTCATACCTTACCTCCCACCCCAACAAGGTGTTTCATCCATTATATTCTCACGCACAATTAATTATCATCATCTCTCGCCTCATGTAGGCGCATGCGACACATCCCCCCATCGATATGGCTGCCGGCACATTAACCTCGGACCATGTGAATTATCTAATTTGGAGGTACGTCGTCCATTCGATGCTGGATCAAATTCAAAACCCAAACGATTCGCTAACTCTATCATCCCCGAAAGATATCTGCAGGAGTCAGGTAATACGATTGCCGAATCTTCTTCCACCAAGGTCCTGTAGATACTGATATCCTGTGTTTTCAGGCCACGGTGATGCGGCTGTCAAGCTGCAGCGTGACTGGCTCTTAGATCCCCAGACCCTTCCGTTCGCACAACATATCAAAACCCACGCCTTGGTATCATTAGTACAAAAAGGTCTCCAGTACCATCAAATCGAGCAATCATTAGACCAGGTAAGTCATATTGCGCAGTCAAATAACCGCATGTTCTCAGATTATTTAGCCCGGGGGTCGGAAATCTTCGTCGGCGGCTACCCTACTATTTTTCGGTACTGAAGCCGGTCGGGCATCATCTATAGCGCAACAAGAGCAGATTGAAGACGAGAGGGCAAGATCCTCAAGCGCACGAAAACATGGCCGGGATTCTAATACTAATGGACTATCCTTGGATCTACCCCCACCGGCACCAGCAGCAAAACGGAGTCGACGCAGTAATGGTGACATATCCACCAATGGCGATCGAGGAGACGGCGACAGCATGCAAACCGACCAAAATGGCTATCATTATCAGAGTGAAGCACCGGTACCGGTATCGCCGACTAATTACTCCCCCGCAGAAGATGGTCCAACGGCCAATGGCATAGACATGGACATGGACATGGATGAAGATGCCGATGCGCCTGGCAGCCCCGCCTCGGACAATGCACCATTAGTACAGACGCTCACCAACGGCGAAAGCAGAGGCGTTCAAAGCGACAAAGTTGCAGAACTCGGACCGCAAACGAGCATTCTGACAGTATCTGAAACAAGCCACGTGATGCATACTGCATGGAACCCGAAAGATCCAACTATCCTTGCAACTAGTGGAGAGGCGCTATGCCGTCTTTGGTACATTTCAAGATCGGCAGCTTTTGACGATAGTCCTAACCACCAATCATATGTCGACCTGTTCGATTCATCCCACCGCTCCTTCGTCTCTACTATGGCATGGGATCCGACGGGCGAAATACTCGCCGTCGCTACTCGCGATGACAATTCCGTCTGGGTCGGCGCAGTAAGTCTTTGGTCAAAGGCTGGAAAGGCACTGGACGAGCTACCAGCTGTCCAAGACTTGGTCCTCAGATTGCGCTGGTCGCCTTCCGGCAAACAACTGCTAGGAATCACCTCTTCCGGTGATGCCACTTCATCTTTGGCGCTCTGGGACGTCGACTCGTCGCAATCTATGCCTCCCTACCAACTCCCCAGCGTCATCACCGATGCCGCTTGGACATCGAATCACCAAATCACCATCTGCGGCAATAATATCATCGCCTCATCTCTCCTCGAAGACCAACGCATCATCGCACTGAACACTCGCTCCGAGCCAACAGCCCAACACGATTGGTTTCACATACGCTACGATTCCCGCACCCACACTACCGCCCTCGCTGCTGAAGATACACCGGTCCTTGGCCTCATCGACCCATCGGATACCCTCCATACCATCACCGCACATGAATCCGAAATCACAGCTCTCGCCTATCAACCTGTCACCAACCTCTCCGCTTACCCAGCCAGCGCTCCCCGCCTCCTTGCCACCTCCTCGCTGGACGGATCCATCAAAGTATGGGACGCCAAGCGACCCTTCGATCTGGTGCACACCCTCTCACTAGGCCACGCGGCACCCGCAATAGCTATGTCGTTTACTCCAGACGGTTACCTGGTCGCAGCAGCCAATTGGAATAGAGTGCTGATCTGGAATGCAGAAGCTGGAGGGTTGCCGAAGGCAACCTGGAAAGGTGTGCTGGGCAAATTTCCCAATGGTATGCTTACCAATGGGAATGGAGCTAGCGAAGAGGAGGATGACTTTGGAGGCGATGCAAACAGCTCTTTGAGCTGGGACGCCGAAAGTGGAAAGTTGGCATTGGGGATTGGCAATAAGGTAGGCACCCACCATATTCGTCTGGAGGCTGCGCAGACCCGGCTGACGATCGCAAACAGGTTGCGATCATCAACTTTCGGCATTGAAGAATGGAGCATCACGGAATGACTCCTCAACTTTAGTAAGAGCCGGATACACATCGGACGTTCTGATGCATTGGAAAACAATGCTGTGGTCTCTGAGAGGCTTGCGGGGACTAGTCCATCAGCTGAAGTCCTATTCTCGGGGTATCTAGGGGAGATGTCGACTTTGAGGGAGCCCAACGCCGGGTCGTCAGGACCCCAAAGCCGCACATGCTGCGGCGCGAGGACACTTTTCCCCGTCGATGAGAGGAACGGAGGAGAAATGCCACCTGAGCTATCCTCATCAATACCAGTACACACCACCTCAACCTCCGCTTCTTGGCGACGATGTCTTCAACCTGTGATGGAAGGAGAGAGTATATCGTGATGAGCCTCTTTGTGAGCAAAGGCTGAATGGATATCTTAGCCCTACCTTTAGCATCGGCGTTCCGTTTGGCGCTTCAGTATATAAATCAGGAAGGATGTGGAGATCTGATCACCATCGATTCCACTTGATCCGGATTTTTATAGCAAAGTCATGAAAATTCAAGCATAGTGAGAGGCAAAGCCTGTATGTGACATATCGCACATCCGAAGCATTAGCACTGTTGAGAGGCATAGCGTTGTAGATGATGCCATTCTCATCCGAGACCGTAGCCACAAACCCGTCTATAAGAAACCCTGATAGAACCGTCTGAACCAACGAAAAGTCCACCGCCTCTTCTTCTTCTTCTTCTCGTGCAGACGGGAATGAGAAATGGGGGGAAAGGCCTTGCGCTGTAAAGCCGTATTTGCGGCACGAGGCCCCAACGTGCCGCTGCCACAACGCGGACGTTGGGATCATGAAAGCCGCCGGAACCCTGACGCGTCGAGTCTGGGTAAAAAATGGCCCCATCGGCCGATGAGCTGATTGATGGATAGATACCGGGCCTCAGACATACTCGGAAGTGACGCGCCCGTAGTTCACGCCGCCGCAGATGAGCTCGTAGGAGGTGTAAGCCGACATGTACGTGACCTGGATGGCGTAGTCGACGTGGTAGTACATCTTGCCGTCGGCGCCCCTTTTCCGGGGGATCTGGTGGGCGGGGAGGCGGCTCAGGTCCGCTTCGACTTTGACGAGCGGGGTCACGCTTTCTGCGGGCTGGGTTAGTGGATCGGTCTGTTCGGATGGGTTTTGGGGATCCTGGGTCTTACCGTCCTCGACGTACTTGGGCGCGCCCGAGTTCTGTGGATCGCTGGAACAGTAGATGGTTGTCGAAATCGTTGTGAGGGATCCACGGGACACTAATTTCTTTCGCTGATAGCTCAGTCGTACGGGTCTGTCTTCTTTGACGAGACTGCCCTATCGTCGTGTGTCAGTTGGGTTCAGATACCTTAGATTAGCATGGCTGTTGTGGAAAGATACCTTTTCGATGAACCAGTCCATCATGTAGGTCCGGTAGAAACCCGAACATGCATCCCAAATTTTCCTTGCATTGCCGTGTTCCAGGTCGAGATACTGCAGGCCGCAGTTGGTACCATAGTATTTTCGGGCAGACCGCCCACTGATTGCAACCGTTGCAAAAGCAGGGGAGGTTGATGCCAGCCCCATCATCAGAGCCCCTCGAACGACGGCAGTCCAACTACTGGGCATGAGCCCACCGTATCATCTTAGGTAGGGTTGGTACTAACCTGCAGGGAGATTGCAAGACTTCCACGTTGCTGGACTTGACTTCTTCGCGAATGGCATCTCGCAGAAACGAATTCTGTCCGAAACCACCAACTAAAACGATAGCTTTGACAGATCTCCTAGCGGCCTTAATTTGGCCGGTTACCAATGCGAGCACTTCCTTCACCACGGGTTCAAAGATGGCCCTAACGTCAATACCTGAGAGAGTCATCTTGTTTTTACGGATGCCCAGCTTCTTGTTATCTGCGAGACCTGGAACTGTATATCACTCGTGGTCAGTCACCGCGAAAAGCCTGGGAAGCACAGTGGCTACAAACCCGGTATCTGGAATTCTTCGCCGAATGTTCCACGGAACTGTCTTTTGACCTGTCATGGAAGCCGACATCAGCATGCAGTCAGAATCGAGGAAATCTATCATTGTACACATACGATGCCCTCAAATCGTTTCATTGCCTATCAAACTTTTAGTCTATCGTCTCGACACCCGAAAATGGAGGATCTTACCTCATCCAACACCTCGTCGTCGTATCCATCCTCGTTTGCAAGCTTCCCCTCAAGATACTCTCGGAATCTGCGGTTGAGAATCGTAGCACCGCACGCTGAGCCGGATCCAGGACTCGCCTCAGCGAGCTTCAGGATTGGTTTTAAGCCGGAGACTTTGTAAGTAATCAGATCAACGGTTCCTCCACCGGCATCGCAAATCATGAAAGTGTCCCCGATCTTGATACCGTGTGGGTCCAGAGCGGGCAACGCGAAAAATGCTGCAGCCTCAGGTTCGGAGACTATGTGAAGAGCAGCTCCTGCACCCATGCCAGCGGCCTCTGCACAAGCTCTAGTTTTAGCTTGGGCCATGTCAGACCACATGGCGGGGACGGTGATCTGCAAAATTCAGCGATGGACTACCACTTATTCTGCTTAGGTTCCCTGGGTACATACGATGTATTCGATCGGAGTGGAGAGCAATGCACTTTCCGGGACATTGTGACGGAGGACTCGTACGGTATGCTGGCGAAGAGCGGTCATGAAATCTGTCGCGAGCTTTTCGGCGTCGTAAGGTGGCGGACAAGCCCGGGGATCAGTGTATTGAGAGGCGAGATCCATATCACGGGCTTGAGAAGAGTCCAGGGCCAATTTAAACCACTGATGTCTTTGCTCCGGATCTTTGATCTGGAAGCCCCACCTATAATTTTCGCCATCATACGTGATCTCCCTACGCAATGTAAGCAGAAGAGTCCGACCCTCAGGACTATCAATGCCACAGGTACTCACGTTGGAACCTTGTCGCTACTGACACCTTCTAGGCTGTCGGAAGTGGCATCCGGCCACTGAATGATTATCGATGGAACCTCCGGCTGTCCTAAATTAGCAAATTGGAGGCGTGAGATCGTGAACACCTTCATGCGTACCTGGCGAGTCTGAGCCCACGCGATACCAGAGAAAGTGGTTCCACTTTTGAATAATCAGTATATAGGAGGCTGGCAGTGCAGTTTCACTCACAAATCCACGGCAACTAGGATCTTGCGATCAGGTTCCTTGGTCGCTTTCTTTGTCTCTTGTCTCTTACGCTTAGGCTTTGGCGTTGGAGACTCGGTGCTCTTTGTGGCAGTGGTAGGCTTCTTCTGTTCTTGGGACTTTTTCGGCTTTGGAGGCGTCTTAGGCATCGCAGGCTTCTTGGTTCGAGGCACCGTGACGCAATTGGCGAGCTCTGGCCATCGTAAATGATTAGTATAGAAGTCTCCGTAAAGCAACCATAGAATTGCGGACGTAAGTAGGATATGATGGATCATAAGAGTGAGAAATGAAGGGGGAAGTTTCCATCCAAAGTGAGGTCTTTCGAAGGTGACTCCACTTATTGCCAAGCCAAACTCGCCATTTATTACCACTGTGAAAAGATTCAGAGCCTTTTAACGAAATAACTCACCGATTTCTTCTTTTGATGCCATCTTTAACAATGTTGCTTATTGTGAGTCAGATCACTTTTGAACTTAATACCTCCACGATCAGTGATCTTTGGAAGAAGTGATGAGGTTGAGAAGTTCTAGACTGACACTTCAGACTTAGTGATTGATCAGTCGGCCGATCAGTGATGTTTTGAAGGTGTGACGAGGTTGAAAAGGTTAGGACTGACAACTTCAGACTTCAGTGATTATCAGTCGTGCAAGTTGTCGACCCTCGGTGAAATGCTTTATTTCAGTCTCTTGCCATCGATGCGTGAACGAGATGGAGAGTCTGGGGGAGAGAACGAGGTGTTTTCACTTCAGAAAGCTATCATGCCTGAGAATGAGTCGGAAGATGTTATCATGACAGATCAAGCTCCTATCGAAGGTAAAGGCCAAAGCCAACAATCTGATGATACGCCAGACCTTCAAATCACCTCGGTCAGGGCTCTCAGATCAGCAAGCAAGCGGCAAAAGAAGACGGTCGAAAACGGAAAACTCAAGGGCGAGGGCTTTGAAGCCAAAGCAGGTAGCGTTGAAGAAAACCTACCGAATGCCGCACTACAGTTGCAGAGTTGTCAGAGCAATCTGGAGGATGCAGAAAAGAAGCTAGCTGCATCTAAGGAAGCTTTGAAAAACACCAAAGCCCAGCTGCAGAGCAAGAAAAAGGATCTAGCCGCTTGCAAACGGAAACTCAAAACCTCCAAGCATGTTGGCCGCGATTTGAAAGCAAATAATAGGGACTTGCAAGATTGCTTCACAGCCTCTCAAGTGGAGTTATGCAAGTGCAAAGACGATCTTTTCAGGATGCAGACAGTGACTCAAATCCCCGACTCCGCCATTGTCAAGCGCTTCGAATGCCTCAGTCAGCAAATCGTTCATTGGATCGACACGCAGGTTGCAATATTTGAGAAAGCACGTCCAGAGGCCAATCCAGACCAAATTTTCTTAGTCGGAGAGGACAAATATGCTACAACCTTCCTACGACTCCATCCGGGCGCAGGCGAACATCTGGCAAGATACTTGATCCATCGCTCTTTGCAAGACAACGTGTTTGGGCAGAAGGTATACTTTTGGGGCTTGCCAGAGGAGACTGCACAATTGCTGTGGAAAGCGGAGCAGAAAATGGCTGAAGTTGAGCCGCCAAGAGGTATGTAGCTCCGGACTACCTTTGGGCGCCAGCTGACACGAACAGATTCCGTGACGATCGCTAGCTGGCGTTCGGAGACACTCAAAGCACTTGCCAAGACCACAGAGTGTGCCGACTACGGCAAAAAGCGAGCCCAAGACTTCAATAGCCACCTATTCAAAGAGCTAGGGAAGACTTTTCCTTTCATATTCTCCAGTCGAGAGGCTCACGCCACATTCTACGACCAAGTGTTGCTTCCTGCAGTGAAGCTCGCGAACATGATCCGAATATCTACCTCGAACTATGTCTTTTCGATCCCAGAGTCACCTATAACCGAATTCAAGCCTGTCACCACGGACTTGGTCAAAGTGCACAAGATGATCGATTCCAAGAGTGGGAGGCAGTTGAAGCCGGACAGCGCGGTGGTTGCCGACAAGGATGGATTCATTGCAGAAATCATCATATGCCTGGAGCCTGGTTTGTACCGCGTGATCAAGGGCAAGGAGACGACTCTTCGCCAGGAAACGCTCCTCGTCGAGCTCAAATCTCCATTATTGGCGAAACGCAGCAAAGCTTCGGCTTAAAGAATAGCTGCATGGGCGATGCTGATTTTCGTCCCAATCTCCAGGGCGGAAGACACTGATCAAGGCTTGATGGGTACTTTCATGAAGGCATTGGCAGCGCAGTGCTCGTGCTTTGCGAAATGCAGGGGACTCGGTTCCTCAGGACAAGCTATTCACAGATGCTTCAAGTGGTTCAGCAGAAGCTGACCGATTCCTTTCCCATAGACTAATCCTCAATCATACACTCGACTCTGATCGTCTCCCGATTGTGTTTATCCCTAAGCGTTATTGACATGATCAAATAATAGGCGCGAAGATTTGGAAATCGCACGATGCCAAGATTTACGATGCGCTAATCCGGATTGGGAATAGATTAGCTTTGAGTTGCAACAAACAAATGCATAGAGGGAGGGGAAACTTGATGAAATGGTCGTTTTCTTGGGGCACTGCGCCTGAATTGTATGATTTCTACAGATTCTCCATTGCAGGTAAAGTGACGGTCCTTAGGGAAAATCTGCGAAAATCGTCACAGTTTTCTGGCACTGCGCCTAATCTGTATGACTTCTATAAGTTCTCCCTTGCAGGTAAAATCACAGTTTCTAAGGAAAAGTCCATAAACATCGTCGCTATTGTCTGGCAACTGTCGAACTTCTACAGTTCCATTAAAGATTTTCACCCTCGATGCATGACTTTTGCTACCTACTCTTACCTCAGGTGGCGAGGTACCCTGCCAGAAGAGCGGCCATAATGAAGCGTTCACGACGCAAGTACCTCGCCCTTCAAGTCACGATGGCCAACCATGTTGCATCTACATAAGGAGGTTATCACAGGGTCTCGCAAATCTAGCAAAAGCTACAACGGCCTTTGTTCCATAACCAATGCTTCTGCTGACAGTCTAGATATTGCCTACCGCCCTCCAATTACTAACCCTCATTCTCGCCCCTCAGTATCCGCCGCAGCCCCTGCCCCTCCATTGAAGCCTGCACCTCTTGCAGCATCCTCTTCTCTCGAATCCCTCTCGCGCCGTACCTCCAAAAATCAGGCACTGCCTTGCAGCGATCAGAGCCGACGGTTCCGGCCGCCGCCTGAGCTTAGATACAAGCTGCAGGGGTCAATCTGCAGTATCTGAAACGAAATAGAGCAGCGGAGCTGATGCAGAACGTGGGGGTTGGATGGAGAAGCGGATTCTGAGGTGCTAGCTAGTAACGGCGTACAGGTCGTAGGCTACGAGATAAAAGCAGATGCTTTGGGAAGAGTGTGGATTATATATCACAGCTAGATTGTCTGTGTCACGTCCATGGACCCATTCGGGGACAGGATGTTCTTCTCTCAGAAAGCGACTCTACTTCTCTGTACCAAAGTGTAGCACCCTACGTTGTTCCTGCCTAGACGGACTGCACGTCACTTTCTCAGTGCCTGTTCCACACCTTGTCATGCCTCGTACTTTTTTCTCTTTAGTCAATTTCCTTGTCCCGACGCTATGTATCAACAACCTCGATCCTCATCTGCTTGTGCTTTCACCCCTCAGGAAACAGCAGTCTCAGGCTGCTCGACCTCGTACAAACTGAGCGTACCGCTCCCTCCGCAGATCCACCTAAAATTCCCCATGCAAACTCTTGAGCACTGATTTTCTGAGACTCTTGTGGTGCCGTAAGACAAAGAGTTGCCGCAGTAACACCTACCAACGTCAGCCATGATTCCTCTCTTCGATAGTCGCGAGTAACAGGGTTGAACTCACTCGTTTGAATACTCCAAACCAAAGAAGGTATAGCCTCTACAAATCTGAGCACACTTCTCCGGTGTAATAGAGCCCTTCCGAGTCTTCGCAGTGAGCGTCCTGTCGTGCGGATCATCGGTCCAGCAGCCTCGGTAAGTCCAACCCGGTACTCTGACTACTGCCGGTGGCGCGGGTGGAGTAGGGGGTTTTGAGGGAGCTGCGTTTGAGGAGTTGATCGTCGAATTCGATGAGACGAGTCGGATTGACGGAGAAGCAATCGAGGCGAACTTATTCGACTCATACAGACTAAGCACATTTATACCTCCACAGACTGACTGTTGGTTTCCACTACAGACGTTGGCACAGAAATGGTCTGGCGTGGGTATACTGGCATGAGCGACGGTGTTCCCACAGTAACATCTACTTCCTGTCAGCCGCGAAATCATAACTGATAGTGCCAACGGGAAAGGGCTCACTCGTTACTACCCTCCAAGGCGAAATATCTGTATCCACTACAGATAATTGCACAATGCCTTGGGGTAAGCTTTCCCGTCCACTTTTTCCCAGTCAGAGTTCTGTCAGTTATATGATCAGTATGGCAGCCTCGGTAGGTCCACCCGGGTACTGTAGCGATTGTTGGCGGGCCTGGAGGAGCTGGATTGGTAGGCAGGCTTAGTGCTTGTAGGGCCAAGACATTACTCGTGGTGAAGGTGAGAAAAGCAAATGTGAGTAGTCTGGGGTGCTTCATGATGATCTCAATGGGGGTAAGGTTTTCTGTAAAGAAAGGAGCATGGCATGACTCCAGCAGGAAAGTCAAAGACTTGGAGAGCTCAAAGAGACTGCCATTGCGCAAATATGAATTGCTCTAATTGACATGTCCGAGAACTGGAAATATGATTTTCTCACATGCTCTAAAGGCTTTGTTGCTTCGGAAATTGTGTATTGCCACAAGTCCTTGAACGTCCGTTTGGTCAGCGCTTCAGAGGGATCTCCATGCCCACCTTTCTTCTAAGCGCGTGGGGTTGCACCAAATACGCTGTGGAATGATTCGGTTACTTTGCTCAAGATTGTTGGCGCCCCTCGACACAGGCTGTTGATCGCGAACGAGGGATTTCTTCCGCACGCGATGTACGAGGGCGACGCACACCTGTAAAGGAGCCACTGCCTCAAGACTACTGCACAAACCTAGGAAACCACTTGAAGGCCGTATTGCTAATCGACACGGCGTATCCATATTGAGAGACGCTTTCGGAGCTACTGACTCTCGTCAAACAGATATCAAACATGCATGACACAGCACGGAATGTAGCAGCGC